AGGCTTTGCTGACATAGGCCTGGTTTGAATTCCTGCTCGAAGTCTGCTTGCTAAGATGCGGCATCCTGACCACTTGTTTGTAAATTGCAATAGAGATGACACCAGGTATGGAAGAAAGACAAAAGCTTCTGATTATTGCACCAATCCTGCTGGTATCCTCTCAGAGCACTTGTCTCATCACTTCCTTCTTGGGATCATCCCCTTTGAGGGTCCTACCAGTAGCAGGTGTATACAAGGGCTCCTAACCACAGTGCCCTAAGTATGTATGCCTAGTCACCCAAATAATTTTAGATGGAACCTAAGCTGAGTAGGCACACTATCGGTGGCTGGTTTGATTAAATGGAAACTTGAAGGTCAATAGATGCCACAAGGAGGAAAACCAGAAGGTCTAAAAAAACAACTATGTATGTATCAGTGAAATGCCTATATTTTGGACAGGAATAGTTACAGACATAATAACATTGTGTGAAGCTCAGGGAATAAAGTCTCCTAAGTGCTGCTGAGTTAGCATACAGTAGACACTCTTTTATTATATGCACTTGATTGATTTTTTGTTAAAATCCAGGAAGGCTACTGATAAACAGGGAATAACTTAAGAGACAATTAAATGAAATTTACTGACATATATTTCGTTGTGGCTGTTTGCTGAACAACATACTATCATGAAGCTCTACAATTGTAAAATTGTATTACATTGATTTTATAACCCAAGAAAGCAAAAAAACCCATCCCTTTTGTAAAATCTCATTACGTACAATCATGTTTACCAGAAAGTTCCACTGAGTTCAAACCACAAACCTAGAAGTGTCAAACGAGATTAGTCAATTTTCCCTCTTGAGTAAATTGCACATCAGACTGAGAGAGTCTCACCAGGCAAACTGAAAGCAGGTGCTGGCAAAATCCTTTCAAATGACATTATTCCTCTGCTGTTTACAGAAGCATACACACAGGCACTGAGCACAAAAGGAACTGTTTGCTTAGTTTAACTGTTTGCTCAGTTTTCTGTCTAAACAGCCAGCTTTGTAATGATCTTTATTGCATGTCACACCTGCACTGTAAACACAAAATCTCCTATGTTCTTGGGAGTAACACGTCGCTAGCAGCTCCAGCTGAACCAGCTGAGCAATAGCCCGCGAAGGCCTGGATAACACCGACCTAGAGATTTATTTAGCATTTGTCAGCTGACTATTAGGTGGAAACTTGGAAATGAAAGTGCAGGTATAGCAGGAAGCGGAGAGCATTACTACCACCTGCATGAAAGTTCAGGTGAAAGCACTGATACTATTAAATTCAAACACATGCAGACAAAACTGTCTTTTCTGCAAATGCTAATGGGAGTTACTACCTTTCACATTCTGCTGAGAGGGGGCTTTATAATACTTCCCCTTCTCAGAGTGCCAGCTGCATCCTTCACATCAACAGTATCATAAACTTGATACCCCTCAGCCCAAGCCAGTTCAGGCAATGAATTTGGCAGAAAACTAATTCAACAAGCCCTCAACCTAACCAGCCTCTCCAAACCCGTATTACTTTTTTCCTCTCCTTTCTATCTGTGAAAATGCACAAGAAAATAACAATCAGGAATATGGAAGAGGGGGACAAATGGAAAGGAGAACTCTTCTTCTTAAACAGCAGCCTGAAAACAGATGAATTCCAAAACACCAGAAAATCATGCCTATAATATACTTCCATGTTTTATCCCCTGCCTCCTGGCTCCCAGCTACTATTAGCTATTTGCTACATGTTCATACCAGCGAGGTGGAGAAAATTGCTTTAAATTAGTCTTGCCAGGCCAGAACATAAGGAGTCCACTTGCTGGACACTGGCAGAATGTACAAGCAGAACTCAGGTCTTGTCTATGGCTCTTAACCCACAACCACCAAAGTGTCTTGGGAGTTTCCTCAAAATTCATTTTCTGAGAAAGACAATAAAGCAGCTGTTTGTTTGTTTCTCCCTTAGAACAAGCACTCACATGAACTGAATAAGCTTGAGCTAAGACTGTTAAGAAAAAATAACTGGGTCAGCAACTACAACTAGAGAAAACATTAGTGATGTGCCTGTGTTGCCTTCCATATATCTGCAGTTTCAAAGTGTCTTGCCAGAACCTGGTACTACTACTAGGTCCTTCATGCTGGTGGAACCCAGTTGTTTTTCCAGCCTCTATGCTGTCAGGGACAACAGACAGACAAAATTGGAAAAACAAAACCAAAGAAATAAGAAAATTGACTTTTTGAATCAGATTTCCAGGCAGCCTATTCAGCAAAGTACAAGTGATCAACACTGCGTGCTAAATACTTGGTGTAGATTTCTGACTTCCCTGAAGCCGCACATCTTTCCCACCTGTTTCTGCAAACTACCACTTCACCTTTGCCAAACAGCAAAACCCCTCCTCGTGGCCTTTGCTCACACTACCTACCACAGATGTTGGGAGGAGAAGCCCCCTTACTCTTCACCCGACTCCTGCCCTTGCAGGAAGCAGCTTTTCCTCACTCATCACTGCTGTTGATACTTCCCTCGCAAATAGGATTGGGGAAAAACCCTCCTCTTCACTCACAAGACTGAATCACAGGACTGAAACCACTCCACTCACACTTTTAAACTTTGCCCCCAGTTTGGAAGCCCTGCAGTACTACACACTGCCCAACTCTGCACTGACTTCTGAACAGCATGACATCCTCGAGACATCCTCCTCCTCCTCCTAGGAAAAGGAGGAGCGAGTGTACCAGCTGAAGAGCAGAGAAGAGCTGGCCATACTGAATTGCATCAGTGAGCTGATGTGGCCACAGAGTCACAAGCACTAAGCGCCCATTCTTTATTTGGGGTGTAATTTGCTTCTCCTCCTTTTGAAAGACACTGTTACATCTTCGTCCAGGCTCGCCTGCCCTGGCACGTTGCCGCAACGGGCTAAAGGGCACATAGCCACCTCTGATTACTCATTCACTTGGGTAATTATTTTGTTCACTTATGGCTAATGATAAGGGGTTAGCCTGCCTACTTTACAAAGGCACATGCCACATATTCTGTCTGCCCTTGTTTTCCTATAGCAAAGCACATCGTTGCTGATATAAAGGAGTAACAGGCTAACTCAATTCAGCTGCTGGATCTAATCAAGTTTCCTTGAAGTTCCTTTGATAAAAGTGACTTGTGACATCAATTCTTAAACCATAAATAAAAGTACAGACTTCTGTACTGATTACAGAATTAAAGTCAGGGAAGTAGAGAAGAAGGGAGGATGAGGTCAGAGTCCAAAACTTTGCATAAACTGTGTAACTGTGGAAGAAGAAGACAGTAGGGAAAAGGATGGAAAAAGAAGAAAATAATAACTTAATTTCACAAGAAAACTGTTGAAATAAGTACTGCAATAATCTCATGATAGCTGAGGAAGGAAAGGCAGAGACTGCAATAGGATAACAGTCAAATCTCACAGATTTCTAATGGACCATGTTCAGATGGAATCTTGAGCCAGGCAGGCACATTAGAGTGCACACAGGGCTCTCAGAGCTGCCTCAACATTCAGATATTCATCCAGTATCCTTCAAGGAGGAATTACTTTAGAAAACTATTACAATTTCCTCGAAACTCTGGGTGCCAAATTTGCTCCTACTGTTCTGTCACTGCAGTCTGGGAAGACCTTGAGTACAGCTCAGTAGGAGGAAGCACACCAGGAGGGTGCAGTTCCAAACCCTTTGTGTTGGGTACTGGGTTTTGCACAAACTTTGTACTGTGAAGTACAAGCCTCATGATCATGAGTGTTGCGTTTGACTAAAACTGATGGATAGAATTGGGTTAATTCAAATTATAGTACAGAGTTGCTCGTTTTAAAAAAGTTTATTTAACAAAGTAGGTACATTTCACAGAAATGGTTCTAAAATGCATAGCATATTATGAACAATACTGTTGCTTTACAGATACTAGTTGTTGTTACCCCAAATATTGCTTTTTAAAAACTAACCAGCCTGCTTGCTGAATCAGAAAGCTAAAAATCCCCAGTTATCCCACCTTAGGCACTGTGAAAAAAAAACCAAAACAGTATTAACAAAGAAGGTGTCCACTTTTTCATTCACTCTACTGATTGTTTGTATTGTTGCATCATTAATTTGCCATTCCTATCATGTGGAAATACCCGGTTCCTGGAGTCACACACCAAGACTAGATTTCCATCAACTGCAGCACAAATTGCACTTGTTCAGCCAATCAAAATCCCATGCAACTCCAAGGAAACCTGACTGAGGGTCTTCACACCAATTAATTTAATGGACAGAGGCAGTATGAGCGGACAAAAAAACCTAGCAGTTTTTCTAAGTTGTGCAGATATGTCACACCCATACCGCTATTCATAAGTAATTCAATTGTAAATTGGCAAGTCCATACATATTTCAAGTTTGATTTCAATGGAAATTGAATGCCTAGTAGAGACACACCTTACCCTCAGTGGTGATGCAATGCCACAGAAAGTGGAATTGAGTTTTTTTACAGCACCTGAGAACTGAGCACACCTTGAACATCCAGAACTTCACAAGACCAAATCCAGAGGTGTCTGTTTTCTGATCTTTGGGATGCCAGGGCACAAAGAAGTAAAAATGAAGAGCACAGCACCGATCTGTAACCATAGCTGAGACAGATACCAGCTCATTCACACAACACCTCAGCACATGAGTCATGACCGAAATTCTTCCCATTTACACTTGCATCACAATAGGCAGAAAGCAAATGCTGAGGTAAAAGGAGATGCACCAGGTTTGCACGGGTGTAAGCAAGTCTAGAATCAAGCAAGCTATAAAATCCATTAATTCACACACAATAGAGAAGGAAAAATCCCCTTATTTTCAAAACATATAGATACATGTAGATCAAAACATATGTTTTCAAAATATATAGATACATGCTCAAGAATAAATTGACTTTCTGCATTATAACATGATATTTACAGTAGTTTAAGCTTGGCTTGGACAGAAAATAAGGAAGCTTGAACTCCGTCCAGCAGAGCTCCTTTGGAACTGTTTGTCAAGAGAAGAATGAGGTCTGAAGCAGTCCAAGAACATCAATGTTTCATTCACCATCTTCAAGTAGTTTTTGTAAGTTGTTCTGTATCTTAGAAAAACAGAGAAAAATAATTGGGAGGTAAGAAGTGTTATACTGCATTTAAAAAAAAAAAAAAAATCCAGACATACTCTTCAACATACTCTCTTGTGTGCACATTAGTTCTGGTACAACTATTCATACCAATGGTATTCATGTTAAATGCTACCTGCACCAGAGTCAAAGGAAACATCTGGGTATGATCAGCCAGTAGCACACCCAGCTTTCATATTATGAATATCTCCTGTAATTTCCTCCTACACATTCTCTCCTTCATTAGGTATGAGAAAATAAGACAGAAAAATACTAGAACTAGAAAGAAAGGGACAAGAAACCCAATTATTTTGAACTTGATCAAAACCCAATAAAAGCCTCAAACTTCAAAGTTGCAGCTCTTAGGTTTAAGATAATTCAAATAGTTTTGTAACAGCTTCAGCTACACAGCCAGTTATGATGTGTGCGCAGCAAAATAAGGTCTTCTAACCCTTGGTAGACATGTCCCATTTGCCAGATTTAGTGTATTGATTGTGGGTTATCTTCCCTTAGTGACACCGAAGGCAACACCTGCCAGTCACATTCTCAAGGATGATTTGCACAGACCTATTTTACATAGCCTATTTATCCACGTTTCATCTCCTTGTCCTTAAAAGCAGAGAGGGAGGAATATAGTGGGTCACATCCCCTGGTACATGTGTTCTCTATATCTTAGTAAATGGCAGTCACCGGCTATAGAAGGTTTAAGTCACAGCTACTTTCAGGCTTTAATTTGAGGAGCCATTGTACTTCCTGTTCAGGGACACCACTTCTTAATCCTACCTCATGATTTCTAGCCCAGATGCATACCTTTTTCAAGAGAGGCATTTTTGGGAAAAGGTAACAATAAGAAGCACCTAATTTTATACGAGTCACTTAACACATACACAGGCATTTCCTTTTAACAAGCTACATTTGAGTGAGGGAATAAGTAATATTTGGTCACGTTTTCCCTCCCCCAATTTAATGCTTTATCCTCTGATAGACATGGTGCATTTTAACAGCCTGTTAAATACACTTAAATGCCAGAGCAAAATTCTGCAAAGCCATGGTAATTCCTTGGTTCCATGTATGAAGTACAGCTTGTAAAAATCACAAGGTCACACTCAAAAAGTCCTTGCAACATACTCTTGCACTGAACATTTTTTAACTGAGAATAATTTTTAGCTTTTAACCTAGATAATATCAGTGCTGTAGTTTACAATGCTGGAGTCGCACAGGAAGCGAGGGGAGAGATGACAAGTTCCAGTGTAACTTTTATGCTACCTTTGCTGCTGAAGCCAGCTGCAGCTAATTACTAGCACTTTTCACTAAACAGGTAAACATGAAACAGTTTAACAACTGTAGTAACTTTGCTCAGAGAACATAAAGCTATTAGATTTCTACAAGTTTTGCAGTATGACAGTAAGGTCAAACATCCCGTTCTAACCACTGCTCACCTAGATTAGAGAGGACTGACATGTGGCAATACACAGGTACAAGCAATACTCATTTAGCATGTATGCACAGCAGTTGATTTTGTCTTGAGTATTTGACAAATACAAGGTAAGACTCTAAGGGTTCAATCCTGAAGGCACTAACTGAAATAAGCACATGACTTAAGACTCTAATTCAGGACAGAGGGTTACTCCTGTGGGAATAGCTGAATGATCCGACCATCCAGCTGCCTTTTACTGTGTCTCCAAGCATATATAAGGGAGTGGGAAAGTGTCTAGCCCTGCTGCGAAGGGCGGGCTGGCTGGCTTCCCACTGAAATGAAATGAAGTCTCCCATGAGCCATCTTGCCAGCCTGTCCCAGACAGCTGGAAAGCAGTAACCTCTTAAATGACCTAATTTGGCTAAAGATTGTATCTGGTAATCATCTGGTAAATATTTTCCCCTTGTATTTATATTGTTATTACCCAGAGCATACAGGGGTTATGCCAGCATCACTCTAGAGTTTCACAGCCAAGGAGGTGGAGATGTGGGGGGAGAAACCTCTTTTTGGCAGTCCCTGTAAAAGCTATCCCACACAAGTAAACAGTGTTATTACATAATCCTAGCTTTATGCTATTTGAGAAACTTGGTTTGGGAAAAAAAAAAGGCGTTGGAAGACCTTGGCACGCACTCACTTCTAGAAACAGAGGCAAAAATACCCATGTGGCTTAAGCACATAGAAATTCACGTAACTTTCGTTTTTGCTTCATCAATACTTTTTTTCTTGCCTGGCCAGTATATATGTTCCCAACATGTAACATTTTATACACCCGTAGCTGGTGCAGTTGCCAAAGTTTGGGGGCAGGGGCAGGACAGGGGGCTGCAGGGGCAGCTGCTGTGGATGCTCTGTGCTGGACATGGCTGCTCCAGCAGCCTCCTTCAATGGACCCACCGCAGGGCATAGCGGAGCCTCTCAGCCAAGATGGTGGTGGAGCCTCTGGGAAAGTGTATTTAAGAAAGGGGAAAAACACCAAACAGAGACAGGAGGAGTGTAAGAGGGTGGGAAACAGCAGAAGGACCACCAAGGTCTCAGAAGGAGGAGGGGGAGGAGTTGCCCCATGGCAGAGAAGATGCCCTTGCTGCAGCCCACGGAAGACCCATGTGAGAGCAGGCAGTTAGGTCCTGAAGAACTGGAGCCCTTGGAGGAGCCGACCCTGCAGCAGGGGCAAAACAGGGGAAGAAAGGACCAGCAGAGAGAAAACTGTAACCCTCCACCAGCCTCACTTGGAGGGCAGAGAGTGAGGTGAGGAGACAGGAGCAAAGGAGTGAAGTTGAGCCTGGGACGGGGCGGGGGGAGGAAAGTTGTTGTTCTATCATATGTCCTTGTTTCATACTACTCAGATCTATTTCAACTGGTATATTAAATTGATTTTCCCCAGGTCGAGTTTGTTTTGCTTGTGATGGTAACTTGTAAGCAATCTCCCTGCCTTTATCTTGACCCACGAGCTTTCTCATCCTATTTTCTCCTCCTGCCCTGCTAGGAAGGGGGAGTGAGAGAGCGGCTGGGTGGGCATCTGACTGCTGGGCAAGACTAGTCCACCACAACACCCACCGTGGAGGAAATAAGGTCTGTATGCCCACTCTTGTTCTGCATAGGTTTCCAATTTAAGACAGCAAGTGCATCTAATTTTGCAATTAGAGAATGGTAAAATGTAAAGGTCAGGTATAGGGAACTACATAACTGGTGCCGCAGCATTTGTGTTACTAAAGTGAAACAGGCAGACTCCAGCCACTTCAGATGAAAGTCAGCATCGTTTTTCTAATCAAAAAAACTGAAACTCAAACAAAAGCCCCGGACAGAAGAGTTCATCAAACAGTAATAAATGTTGAGTTCAGAATCCTTGGCCTTGATGGACAAAAAGAAAATCGAGATCTTTACATGCAATAATCACTGCTGAAGTGTCCAGTTTATTAGTATTCCTGGTTGTAAGCTTCAGCTCAAAGTAAAACATTTACACATATCAATGCTTGTACTTATACAGCATTCCTTTGTCTAGAAAACATGCCAGCTTCTGGTGCCAAATCTGGGCGTAACTTGGCACTTTTCAAAAGAACAGACTATAGAAATTCAGCAAAAATTTTATTAGTGTTATCAGCATTTGAATTATATAATAGGAACTTACCTTTTCCAATTTTATAAGATTAGCAGTTAACTCATCACAAAGGGCATCAGCATTAATTTGCAGATGAGATCCCAAACCTTGGCGCACTGGATGTCTGTCAAAGAGAATGAAGAAGTGACAGAAGCGAAAAAGAGGAAATCAGAACTGAGAGATACATGTAGATGGGAATACAGTGGCAACATTGTGAAGTGTACTTGTTTACAGAAACAAAGGCCTAAGTCAGTTCTGTACTCTTGACTACATTCTTTATGTGGTCTCATCCTCCAGAAGTTTGGATGGAAAACTTTACAGCTATTTTCACTGGAAGTAAGTTGAAAAGTTGCATAAGTTCCTTGTCCTGTGACTTGGAGGAAATCAAAAAGTCCAAGCTCTTGACACTGTAGGACTGCTTATTAGATCATACTGTATCTTCTACTGTTTGGGATCAGAGCAACAGAAAACAAGACTTTCTTGTGTAAGAGTGCTTCAGAAGAGGGACACAGTGTCCTGCTAATAAAAACATGCCAAAAGTGGGAAACTGGTTTTTGATATTGCCTACTGTTAGAGGTAGGTTTACCCCTCTCATTGCATTATCGGTAAAATCTAAATGCAAGCCTGTTTAAGATAAAGAACCATTTTCTTCTTATTCCTTTTTTATCAAGAACTTAGCTCTGTCTTCTGACACCTGCGTACAGGTCCTACTGCTTTCCACAGAAGACAGTTGGATCCTAAGCAGCACAGTCATTGTTTAATATGACCACAAGTGCATTGTCAGAGTGACCTGTTTGTCATGCATGGGTCACCAAAGAAAGCTGAATTAACAAGCACACTTATTCAAGAGCTTGCTAGAGGTTTGAAACACTTCGCAGACAGTTCCACTCAGCCTGGCGACAGCTCTGTCTTGAATTTTGTTTTCCTCCTCTGTTTTTCAGGTGGTGCTTCTTCAGCTGTCAGCATTCCCACTGGTGCTGCATGTGGCTGCAGTTTTTGCACTGATATTGACAAATTACTTTTGAAGCCATGTTTTTCAGAGCAGCTCAGAAAAAAAATCAGTTATAAGAAGGGGAGAAGAGTTAATGCAAAATTGAATGTTGAATAAACTGATTAGTATTCTCAGCAGTACCCAGTTAACTGCCTTTTGTCCTAAGAGAGGAACAGGAAGCTGTTACAACTTACAGCGGCACACCACTGTGATGTATACTCCTGCACTGCCTCATCATTCAATGTTTGCATATTTCCTATCCATGCAACATGGATATTAAAAAAAAAAGAAAAATATGCAGGGGCAGATGACAGCCACAACTCTAGCTACAGAATGGAACTATCTATGGAACTATGGCCCCTTTCCCTATTTCCTCTTCAAATGCACAAAGAATCTTTCCTTAGTCTGTTTGAATTTTTTTTTTCTTTTTTTTTTTTGTAAGACAGGATATCAGTTTCTAAAGAGAATATAGGCAGCCCAAAGCTTCCGAAAACATTACACAAGCAAGTCAGATGTATTAGCCCAAAGATTATCAAGTACCTTCTGTCCTTCTGTCATCTTAGGCTAATCAGATGACATTAAGACTGAAGACAGCAGTCATACCTTTCCCACAGAATCATTGCTCTTGAAAGGAACTGCTCACTTCATCAGTTTACAACGAAGTTACTCACAGTTACCTGAAACACTCTTAGTGTAGTAGTACATCATGATATATCACATTTGTACTAAAAGTCTTTAACAGAAAGCTGTGAGATAAGGTTAGTACAGACACAAGAACTACAGGACACTAAAGTATCACAAGGGCACTACAGTATCACAATGGTCCTTAAAGAAAATAGATGAGCATGACTGATACTGGAAACGTATTTTAAAACCCCAAAATTTTACAGAGTGTATCTTACTCCTTAATATGTGAATCAAAGGATGTGATGGAAATAAGACGTTCCTCCAGGACACTTATTTTGTATCTCATGTAGAAAGTAGAAAATATTAATACACAAACACTGTAAGAGAGAAAAATAAGGTACATCAGTTAATGGAAATTTTAGAGGTACCCGATAGATTTAATATTAAAAGCCATTTAAACTGTTACTTGTACATGTTGAATAACAAAGGTATTCTTAGAATATCTTAGAATACCTTAGAACACCTCAGGAATACCCATCAGTGGCATTCAGACAGTTATGAAAATCTCAGCCTTCAGTATGGATTTGCTAAGTGACATGTAAAATGTATCTGCAAGTAGTTAAACTCTTTTAATATTTCCCGAACCAAAAGATCCTTTACTTTTAAAAGTAAAAGGCCTGTTAAGTAAGCCTGTCCCAGCATTTCTACATCTGAAAGGTATAAAGGTCACAATTCCCAATAATATCCTTTTTTTCAATTGATGCTTAGATTATATGATCTATGTAAACATAAGAAAATCCTAGTATTTTGACAACCTTGGTATTAATTGCTCACTTACAGAACTGCGTAAAATATCAGTACATGGTTCAGAGATAAAAGCCTCTGCGATTTCACTTTGTGGAAGAACCTGAAGCCTTCAGAGCGGCCTGTGAGGAAAAGAACCAAGTGTTACTTGGATCAAAGCAGACCACGGCATACAAATGGTGTTTTGAAGCATGCAACAGATAACATAAACAGAAGGATAAAAAAGAAAGAGATCTTCCAAATTATGTGAACTGACAGAACTATGCAAACTTATCTCAACTAACTCCAGCTGAAGATCTGCCCTTCACTCCTCACCATTTCGAGGACTGTTTCGGGCTTTTCCATCAGGTCCACGTTTACCATGTGCATCTGAACGGACAGATTTTGCCTCAGTCTTGGAAACTTTCAAGTGAGTCTGTGTCTCAACGACATGATAATCTGTCAAAAGCAAGATTTTTAATAAAGCTGAAATATGAAGTCAAAGGAAGCTGTTGGCAGCTTAAGTTAGTCAAGGAGTAGGGGAATAGGAGGATTTTAAAAGGTGCATTTCTGGACTTAGATAGAAAGCAGCAGTCAGTTTACTAGCCTTAAAACAGTTTACATCATAATTCCACACCATCACAAAACATAAGAAGCACCTAGACTGGAAGATGACACATGCTGCATTTACATTTCCAGGTCCTTTGAAAGATAGCAACCTGTGCAAACTTTGAAGGTTATCACTGAATTTCCAGTCACAAGATTATATAGAAACACAAGTCATCTCTCAAAAGGACTGAATATGCTGGAGCAATGATTCTAAATTACTTTAATAACAACATCAAATGAAGATATTACATTGTTACTTCAAAAAGGAGATTATAGCTCACTTTCCTGACTGTTTTTAAATGCAGATGATGTCTTGAAAGAAATGGGACAGAAAAATCCAGTCACGCTGTTTTGTGCATGCTTTACTTGTACACCCGGGACTTCGCTAATGATACACAAGAAACAGAATCACAAATGACAGATGTGCTCCCCTCTGCCCCTCAATTCTTTTTCCTAAGGTGATTCTTTAACTGGATATTGGTTTTTTACTTGTGGAAAAAGAAAACAGAAAGGTTTGAAGTAGTTATTAGCCATAAGGAAGTAAGATAGCAAGTTACATCATCATTCAGAAGCATTCATGTGGCAAGTAATGACACCACAATTTAGTTACTGTTTCACAAACACCACCAAACAATTAAAAATACACACACAGTAAATACTAACAACTAATGAAAGCAAATAGCCCCAAATCATATCACTGAAAAAAAGACACACAGCAAAAAAGAAGAGTTAATTAAAAGTAACATGACAGAAAACTTCTGTAAAAAGATGATAGTGTTTCATTTGAAAGTAAAGGTAAAAATTTATTATGCAACTCCTTGTATAGTCAAGATGGAACCTGGAGTAACAACAGCATAACATTAATATGTTAATATACATTAATTGTACAGCAGAATAATAACACCCTAGGTTTTGCAGATAACATTCAGCATGTGCTACATGAAACAAGTTCCGCTGTACTTCTGAACTTACATGCAGTGAGTTTCTACACATTTTAATTAGGTGAAGAACTTGAGGTATATGAGATTACAAACAGCAGTATTAAGAAAGGACAACTTTGGACAGTGTCTCCAAGTGTCTTAATAACTGCAAAGAATAAAATGAGGGTTTAAAACACAAACCCAGAAAAACACATGTCAAAAATAACTTTTCTGATGATCAAAAGCCACAACAGTACAGAACATTGTTTGTATAGATTAGAAGTTACGCTGTGACTTGAACCACTTTAGAAAATTTTTGTTTGTTTTCTTTTTTATAAAGGAGGAACATCTCCTACATTGTACTTCTGCTAACATAACTGATGGGGGAGCGTAGGGAGCAGATAGTACATGGATAAGCAACTGGAGGCAGTAGTGACAAATCAGATTTGCTGCTGACCACGCTGTTGCCCGAGTCTGGATTGAAAAGGGATATAAAAAGGAAATGCAGCTATTGTGGCTTTGAGGAAGGCCTTAAAAACCACATAATTCTCCAGGACTGTGGAGAATGTAGATTCCACATCAGAAGGGGATTACAGAAGCAAAACCAAGAGCTGACTGTTTTGAGGCCCCATGATCCCACTCACCTTGGAAGCATTCCAGCTCTGGGGTTTGTGAGCCTGTGCTGCTGGACTCTTCCATCTCTTGTCTCTGCTGCTGCACTATTCCATCCAGATCAGAATAGTCTTCATTGAAATCCTGATGGGGAAAGTCACAAGAAAGCTCAGTTCTGTACTAAATCTAAGCAATCTTATTTCCTCTGACTTCCTTCTAGAAATTGAACCAACAATTACAGATTTAAAACTGTTTAACCAGGAACAATCTCTGACATCACAACGTTGATCTCAAGTTAGCAAAATAAGCCCTGTATGATCACCAGAATTCAAGCTTCATCCTCTGCCTTTGTGTAAATGATTAAGTTTGTGTGCAAAAGAAATACTGTTAAGTTGGACAAACTGAGAAGTCCAGGACAGGCGTTACTAGAATTAGACTCTGGTCATCACATGTGGCTACACAGTTCTTAAGATATCTGAACTGGCTCACAAAGGAAGGACTGCAATGAGAAACACTTCAAAAACTGTTCATGGCAGAGGAAGAAGCAACTTTAAGTCAATACAGCGCTCTGTGAAATCTGACTGCTAAAAAGAGATATGTAAAGCATACAGACCTGGGAATATATCCAAAGTATATGCATGTATATGTACTGCACGTGATCAGATTAAATTACACCTATGCTAACCATTCCTACTGCTTCTTAATGTTAAAAAACTCACGGCAGTTTTAGAAACAGATGTAATGATTTCCTTGTTTCCCTTCTTCAGGCATTATAAGTAGTACTTGTAATGAAAAGTGCCACGCAACAAAAAACCAAACATCTAAGCCATTTACCAAGGGCAGAGTTGTAGGGCGATCAGCCCTGAAGCTGTTTTCTGCAGAAGAGGGATTTGGACTGTTGCCCATGCTTGTATCCTGAAAAAAGCAGCAGTGTTAATGAGGAACACACTCAGAAACTACCTGGCATTTAAATGCAGAAAAGCAGTAATAATGAACACAAAGCTACATATCATCTTCATTCCCATTAGTACTAACCTCAAGATGTCTACAGATAGATTTTAATAGCTTGTAGGTGGTATCTCTGGAGAGTAAGGAGACAAACATGTACTGAAAAACAAAAGTCCCAAAACTGTTTGAGAAAAGGCATACAGCACAAGCTTCCTTTTATCTAAATAAAACTTATAGGTGTTTTTGCTGATCAAGAACTATTTTCAAGGACTTCTGTACAGCAGCAAAAACCTCTACTCCTTCTAAGCCTATGACCTTTCATCACAAGGCACACGGAACAGGCACATAAAAGTTACCATGTTCTGCTGCAGGAACCAGAGCATAGTACAGATCTGTTCTTTTTCAAAAAAGACTCTGCATACTATGTTTTACCTACCCCTTTGGGAAAAAAAAAAAAAAACCAACCAAAAACAACTTGTTTTTTGTACAGTCTTCTGCATCCACAAAATATTTGTGCAATGAAAATGGGCTGGTTCTAAAGCTGCTCTTAGGATAATCACATTTTCTACTTATTGATGCAATTACTATTCTAGAGTATCACTGTAGATGCACAAAATACAGTTGCTTAAGGTACAGCTGGTCAGGTAAGAGACCCAAGTAAATGAAAAAATACCATCAGAGCTGTCAATAAGGCACGTAACCCTCTGTGCATGCACTTCCTGACCCAGCTGCTTGTTTCCCCAGCGCTACTACACAGCAATCTTGGCAAATGGGGAATGGTAAGATTACAGAGAGCAGGTGGCAGCCAGAGAGTCTGTTTCTTATTTTCTCACCAAGTGCTACGTAGCTTTGTTTACTGCAGATCCAAAGAAAAAAGACAGGGAGTTAGTAAGAGGGGAAAAAAAAAAAGGTCCTTGCCTGTCACAAGAGAGGAGGTAGAAGCAGCTAGAATCATCCCCTAAGAAACAGGATCCTCCAGGGTCCAAAGTCTAAATGCCTACATGCAGCCAATTCCTATAGCTGTTTAAGTGGCCACTTGGCACTTTCACGAATCCTTCATACTACTTCCAGTAAGTAGGGAGGGGTGGTGGGTGGGAAAAAAGAGTACAAGCAAAATTAAAAAGCAAGCAGGCAGACTGCAATAGCTTTGCCCTCTACCAGTACTTACCCTGTCTGTGACTGTCGCTATGATCAGCGCATTTGGCACAAGAAGGGCAGTTTTGGTTTTCTTCAAAAGTGTCACTGAGACCACAGGTATACTAATCTGAAACAAGATCAATGTAGTGTTATGTCCCAATACGCACACACAAATCTGCATGCTCTTTCTCAAGGAGCTGGCCTACCTACTGTGATACGCCAGACCTTCAACACTCCTCACTCAAAGATTTTTCCAGTACATCCCTGATTACTAATATTTCATGTGGAACAGGTATGTTTTCAGATTATCACTATTTCTTAACTATTTCTACTTCTGTTCTTATCAGATGCCAATCCAGGCTTTTGTTTGTGTCTTCCTTTCCTGATCCCTTCCAGCACATACAAGACTACAGGCTTAGTTCACTGTAGATATGCAGAACAAATCAGTCTTAAAGCTAGGCTTCTCCGTTTAGAAACAAAGTATTTCAGAACACATCAGACAAGAGAGGTTTGTTGAAGAAAGAACATAAAAGTCTTCCCGCTACTTACAGAGCCTTTAGCCTGCAACACGCAGATGAGTAAACAGCTCATCCTTCGCTAATGTTGAAAGATCCAATACCCACATGCCCACTGACTTAAACGAATTCCTGTCTGTGCCATCCAGACTATCTATATTTACATTGAAAAGTTCTCAATTTGCCTTCCTGCTTTGTGTTTACATCCAACTCCATTAGCTTAATGCCTGCTAATTTTCAGAGTATTTCACTTCAGATATTCCTTATAGGCTCTTCCTGTAAACCCTGTATCACAAAGGACCAAATACCCGGTTTGACTTTGAGCTGAGAAGCCTACAGCTGAACAAGTGAGGCAAATATAATCATAGAATCATAGAATCATTA